GTCTGTGAATAACATTTCTCCAATTTTTAATGTTGGAGTTTTTTATATTTAATTGTATTTGTAACAGATTTTTTTTCACTATGCAGTATGTCAGTGTTTTAAATTTAACAGTGACACCTTCAAAAATAGAAGATTGAAATTACTTGGGTAATTACAGTTCTTTCTGGTTTTGTTTTTAAGAATAAACCTATTCCCCTCCCACTGCCCACTGTTTAATAGATGCAACTGATACTCAGGTTTGGTCGGTAGACTTGAAGTTCAGAGTTCTGTTGGCCAATTTTGCAGCTTCTTTCTAATAGCTTTTTACATGTAATGTGAATACGTTAGAAAAACCTATTGTAGACAGCACACGTCCAACCTGTCTTCCAGAGGAATAAAAAGAACCTTGCACCTGATGTAGGATATATTAAAGAAGAGAGCACATGCCTTTCCTAAATAAGCATAACAAAATAAATTTTATATATGCAAAAATTAAGTTAAAGACACAGCGGGATTACCAAGACAGGCACTCATCCTTTTGTGAAAGGTAGAATTCCTGGTAGTGACTTTTCCTTTTGGCCTTCCCCATTGCCATCTCTTGCCCCACTCCCCCATGTTCTGAGTTGTTCTCATTCTCTGCCTTCACAGGTTTCAGAGTTAAGCTTTCTTTCTCTAACCATTCTGCCACAGAAAGTCTCTGTGTCCCTGAGCAGTTTCCCATCTGATTCTGTTCCAGATTTCAGGCTGAAATAGCCGTGCACAGAACTTCAGTCTCTTGTCAATCTCCTCGGCGTGTTCCAGTCTGCCTTTCCTCATTTTCCCTTCTAGGTTTTTCTGGCCTTTCTGCCAGTCTGAAGCTCTCAGACTGACTGAAGTCAACAGGAGACAATACTGAGAGTCAGTAACAGCTCTTCACTGGCGCTGCTTGGGGCCCTAGAATTTGTCAGCAGGTTCAGGGCAAAATCCTGCTCATTCCCAGCAGCATTGGGCTGGATCATTGCCAACTGTCGTCACATCTGTGAAGAAATCAGTCATCAAATTCAAACTTGATTCACAGAGCCTTGGGAAAATGTTGGCTTCTTTGACTGTCAGAAATAGTGTGTAATGCTTGAGAAGCGTCCACCTTAGCAAATATTTTCCATGCTACTGCAACCTGTCTTTCATTCAAAATGTTGCAGGTGCAGACAGATAAGGTTTCTAGTTACGAGTATGGCTCTCAAACTTCATTGCATTTAGTGACATCTAGAGTTTCTGATTTTTGTTATATTCATCTGAGACAGTGCAATGTTTTTTTCCTGTTCTGTTTTCTCACCTGTTGATTGATTTGGTTTTTTACCAACAAAAGGCATGTATTTTGCTTTGGTTTTTGTTCAGATTGGTTTTCAATTGGTTGGCTTTACAGTTAAGCAAATCATCATTGAGTCCTTGGTGCTGTCATAGGCTACTCTCGGAAAGACATGGTGACGTTTGACACCAGCCTACAAATCATGTTATATATTTCACTGCATGGGAGAGAGGGTGCAAGTTTGTTTCTGCATACGATGTCACTGGTAATCCCTGCCTGCAGCATACCATCATTTAACTCTGCAATTCATCTTCCTATATTAAGGACTTTTCTTATTTTTCTGATATTAGTCATGTATCGGTTATCTGTTTGAACAGGGATCCATTCCCCCAGTAGTAAATTTGCACATACCTCCATTAAAAAAAACAACCAACCAACGAACAACCAAAACAACAACAGAAAACCCTTCCAAAACCAAGCCAGAACAAAAATCCCGAAGAAGTGATCTTTTCTCCTATCTTTAGTTCTAGGTGTTTATTGCATTCAGTTCTGACTCTGAAATATTTTTGCTGTGCATTCCTTCTGACGTTTACTAGTTTAACTTCAGCTTGCTCAGGTTGTACTTTCTCACACAGTCCTCAGCTGTCTTAGAAAGAAAAAGATTGTTTCTGGGATTGTGTTTTTCCTAGCATTATTGCTACTTTATTGTAATTGATAGCATGGGCACAACGATGACTGTTGAAGCTGAGCTTTGTATTTTGTATTCCACTTTGGTCTGCTGAGTAAGAAAAGTGTTTTTCATGACAGCACTTCTGGTTTGAAGCTCTTATGGCAGAAATCCTGGGAAAGGCACTTGTGCAGGCTGCGAGCCAAGCACTCCTTTCGTGTTAAGCAGAGATACTAAAACCTAAAAAGATGCTGTTCTTTTTCTACATGGATTGACTCGTTTAGATTTTCCTAAAGCTTCCATTTGACGTTGTTTATGGAGTTAACATACTTCTTTAACTCAGCCTTTATATTTGCTACCAGTGAACCTGTTCATTGGTGGCAAATGGGGAGATGAACAGGCTGGAACACCTACCAGAACCTCCCCTTCTGCTTCAGTGTGGCTGAAATAGCTTAAACTGCATTTGCACCCAGCTGTGTGCCAGCAGCGCTGTAGACAGATGTACCTAGTCTTACTGTAACGTAACTGTTCAGGTGAACAGCGGTGAAGCTATGCTAGACGTGCTGTGCTATGGAATACCCCTTTGGCTAGGTTGGGTCAGGTGTCCTGTCTCTGCTTCCTCCCGGCTTCCCTTCCTCCTCCCTCCATGGCAGAGCATGAGGCTCGCAAAGTCCTTGGTCAGACTGAACGTTTGAGCAGTAACTAAAAGCATCGGTGTTATCAGCGCTGTTCCCAGGCTGAAAGTCAAAAACTCAGCGCTGCACCAGGTACCAAGAGGGAGAAAAAATGACTGCTCCTGCTGAACCCAAGATAGATGCCCTGCTTGTGGGATGCTCTGAACACCTGTGGGATGCTCTGCTTGTGCGATGCTGTGAATCCCTATAGGATGCTCTGCTTGTGAAATGATCTGAACGCCTATGGGATGCTCTGCTTGTGAGATGCTCTGAATCCCTATGGGATGCTGTGAATCCCTATGGGATGCTCTGCTTGTGGCAAGCTCTGGAGCTCCCTTGTGCCACCAGCTCCTTCCTAAGATCCCTACACCAGGAAACATCCACACTGCAGCACAGAGGTGTGGGATCACGGAGTCATGGAATCATGGAATGGGTTGGGTTGAAGGCACCTTAAAGCTCATCCAGCTCCAACCCCTGCCATGGGCAAGGACACCTTCCATGGAGCGGGATGCTCCAAGCCCCATCCAACCATGCCCACTTCCAGGAATACCACACAAACCCCATTACTTCTGCACCAATCCCTTTCCAATCCCTTCTTTTCCCCATCCTCCCCTTCCCAGGCAAACTCCCTGGATTTGGCACCGTTTGAACTCCCCCCCCCAAAGTGGCTTTTAAGAACAACCTGGGCCCCATTCCACCTCTTTTTGGCCCAAAGCAGAAGCTGGGAAGCTGCTTCTGGGGCAGCAGCCATGTCCTTGGATCCGGGGCTGCACGGAGGCTGCTGCTGCCAGATCCTGCTTCCAGGCTCTGGGATATAAGGACAACCCCTTCACCACTCCTTGCCCACCAAATCCCAGGATTTTGGGTGCTTTTGAGGGGCAAACAGCGGTGGTTTTGTGATCAATGTGGGATAAATCCTCAGCAGGGACCTTGCTCCATGGGGATGCTGCTTCTGCCCCCTGCATCCCTCATCCTTGCGGTTCCTTGGGCACCTTCCTGGTCCTTTTGGCGGGCTCCCATGTGCTTGTTTGAGCCTTTGGGTGCCCCCATCTGCTTCCATTGCCCTTTGGTGTGCCCCCATCCATCTTTGGGTGCCCCCCATCCATCTTTGGGTGCCCCCCCATTTGCTTCCATTTTTTGCATCCCACAGAGCTCCAGAGCATCCCATAGGGATTCAAATCATCCTAAGCCCATCACACCCCCTCCATCCCCCCATGGAACCCTCCATGGAATCCCCCATGGCCCCCCCCATGAAACCTGCCTCTCTATGACATCAGCCCCAGCACAAGGGACCTGTATCCAGCACCCGTATCCCTGGGGCAGTTGTGCTTTGGGCGCAGTGGTGGTAGCAGCTCCTTGGTGGCAGCTCCTTGGTGGCAGCTCCTTGGTGGCAGCTCCTTGGTGTCACCCTCAGTGGTGGTGGCAGCACCTTGGTGTGGCACCTTGGGGTCACCCTCAGCGGTGATGGCAGCGATGGCTTTGCTCCATGTCTTCATCCTGCTGGCATTGGCCTGGCTGGTGCATGGCTCCTGGGACAGCTGTGGGTGAGTGGCACCAGGCTCCGGGGCTCCTGGTATTCCATAGGGAGATGCTGCTGCTCCCAGCCATGGTCACACCAGTGGGGTGGTGGGACTGGGAGAGCCCCGCTTCCTCGCCATTACCCCATGCGGTGGCACAGCGCAGCTATGGGGCACCCCATAGGGTTCCTTGTTCCTGCAGCACCCTATGGGGTGGGATGATGCTCACCTATGGGACACCCCATAGGGTCCCTTGTCCCTGCATCACCCAGTGGGCGGGATGATGCCCGCCCTTCATCCCTAACCATCCAGTGTTGGGCTTCTGCTTCCAGAGGGACCTGCGGTACGCGTCCCATGGCTGATTCCTATGGGGTGTCGCGCATCGTCGGAGGCGTGGATGCGCACCAGGGCGCCTGGCCATGGATGGTCAGCATCCAGTTCCCCACGGCCACCGGCTTCTCGCACATCTGCGGGGGGTCCCTCATCACCCCGCAATGGGTCCTCACGGCCGCTCACTGCTTCGTCGGGCAAAAGTAAGGGGGAGAAGGGATTCCAGCCAATTCCAATTCCAACTTGAGCATCCCTGGTTCAGTTGGAACCCATCACCCCTTGTCCCATGGCTGAAGGTCCCTCCATGTCCTCCTTATGTTGAGGATGCAGAACAAAGGGGATGCAGCCCGTGCCATGGGGCGGTGTTGATGGCTCCCATTGATCTTTTCAGCCCCAAATACCCCCATATCCGTCCCTTCTCCCCGCAGTCCTGACCCCCTTTGTGTCCCCACAGCGGGGGCATCGTCCCCATCTGCCCTGCAGGAGGCCAAGGTCCGCCTCATCGATGCCAAGCTCTGCAACAGCAGCCTATGGTACCGAGGGGCCATCAAGAGCCACAACCTGTGTGCTGGGTACCCGCAGGGTGGCATCGACACCTGCCAGGTAGGGATGTGCCCCTGGGGCTCCCTTCTCCTCTCCCATCTGCAGGGCCTTGCTCTGCATCCCCCTTTATCCCAGCTTTGGAAGCGCATCCAGCTCCTGCTCCATCATCCCTGTGCAGGGACCATAGAGGTTGGAGCTTTAAGAGCATTGAGATTCCACCACTAAACCATGTCGTGAGCATGGATTCATGGAATGGGTTAGGTTGGGAAGGAGCTTAAAGCATCCGGTTCTAAGCAAGGGGCAAGGATGCCTTCCATTAGACCAGGTTGCTCCAAGCCCCATCCATCCTCCATCCAACCCATCCCAGTGTCCCACCACCCTCATAGGGAACAATTTCTCCTTATCTCCAACCCATAGTCCCTCGTTCCAGTGGGAACTCATCACCCCTCGTCCTATGGCTCCAATCCATGCTGAAGGTCCCTCTCCACACCCAAATGATGAAGGAGAACCCTTCCATCCACATAGGGTAACAGCGGTGGTCCCCTCCGGCATTGCCATGGCGACCCATCCCCATCCTCATCCTCTCCCGTTCTCCTCCACAGTGTGGCACCAGTGGTCCCCTCTGCGTTGCCATGGCCACCCCTCCCCATCCTCTCCCGTTCTCCTCCATCCCCTCTCTGTTTCTCCTCCATAGGGTGACAGTGGCGGTCCCCTCATGTGCCGGGACAACAATGCCAACTTTTTCTGGGTTGTGGGGCTGACGAGCTGGGGCCGCGGCTGCGCCAGGGCCAAGCAACCGGGGGTCTACACCTCAACAAGGCACTTCCATGAGTGGATCCTCCACCAGCTGGGGACGTTCCACTCCGCGGGAGCCTCCGCGACGCCCCCGACATGGAGCCACCAGCACGTCTCGCATGCGCCCATCCAGCAGACGATGCCTGCTCCGACGGCCTCGAGCACCAGTGACATCTGCTCCTTCCCATACCGGGTGCTCGTGGAATTTGTCAGTCGGGTGCAGGAGTTGCTGCAGGCTCTAAGGGGGAAGAAGCCTTGAGGAGCGGTGTCGCTTGAAGTTGGCTTCAGCTTCAATACAGTTGCCTTATTTTCCCATAGAGAGGATGCTTTGCGTGCCCACCTCTTCTTCTGGTCCGTGCGCAGGGATGGGGATGAGGGATGGAGGGCAGGGAACAGCGGGAAGCGGGAGCTGGGAATCAGGGAATCAACCAGTTTGTGAAAGACTTTCAGGAGCATCAAGTCCAATAGATCCCCATTATTGCCTCATAGACCTTATTATTGCATCATACTGCCCCATTATAGCCTCATAGAGCCCCATTATTGCCTCATAGAGCTCCATTATAACCCCATAGAGCCCCATTATAGCCTCATAGACCCCAGTATAGCGTCATACAGCCTCATTATTGCCTCATAGAGCCCCATTATAGCCCCATAAAGTCCCATTATAACCCCATAGAACCCCATTACAGCCTCATAGAGCCCATTATAGCCTCATAGAGCGCCATTATTGCCTCACAGACCCCATTATAGCCTCATAGAGCCCCATTATTGCCTCATAGTGCCCCATTATAGCCCCATAGAGCCCCATTATTGCCTCATAGAGCCCCATTATTGCATCATAGAGCCCCACTATTGCCCCATAGAGCCCCATTATTGCCTCATCCTCATTATAACCCCATAGAGCCCCATTATTGCCTCATAGACCCCTTTATAGCCTCATAGAGCCCCATTATAGCTTCATAGAGCCCCATTATAGCCCCATAGAACCCCATTATTGCCTCATAGAGCCCATTATAGCCTCATAGAGCCCCATTATTGCCCCATAGACCCCATTACAGCCTCATAGAGCCCCATTATTGCATCATACAGCCCATTACTGCCCCATAGAACCCCATTATTGCCTCATAGAGCTCTATTATAGCCCCATTATAGCCTCATAGAACCCCATTATTGACTCATAGAGCCCCATTATTGCCCCATAGAGCCCCATTATTGACTCATAGAACCCCATTATTGCCCCATAGAACACCCCCCCCCCCACCCCCCCCAATTTCCCGTTTGAATTTATTTTATTTAACTTATTTCCTTCTTTTTAATGCAAAAATCCTCGCGGGGGGGCAGGCGTTGGCGAGGGGCGTGGTCAGGCCAAGCCCCCGCCCCCTATGGGAGGGGGTGAGGAAGCAGCTCATTGGTTGCCATGCGGGAGGGGAGGGGCTGACGTGCGGTAGCCCCGCCCACTCGGGAGGGCAAGAAGATTTGATTGGCCACCCCTTCATGGCCACGCCCCCTTTATGGGCCAGTCCCCCCCGTGCACAGTGCAATGGGGGCATCCCATGTGGGTTTGGCTCCGCCCCCTGGGGGCGGTTGGCAGCCGGGGGGGGAGGGGGTTGGGAAGGGGGTTCTGGGGGGGCGTTAAGAGTTTTGGCAATGGGGGGTCCCGCTATGGGTCTTGATGTGGGTCACGCTATGGGTCTCGCTGTGGGTCCCACTGTGGGCTCACTCTGGGTCTCTCTATGGGTCTTGCTGTGGGTTTCTCTATGGGTCCCACATGGGTCTCTCTATGGGTCTCTCTATGGGTCTCGCTGTGGGTCTCGCTATGGGTCTTGCTGTGGGTCACATTGTAGATATATTCTCTGTCTATGGGGCTGTGGGTCTCTCTGTGGGTCTCTCTATAGGGCTGTGGGTCTCTCTGTGGGTCTCTGGGGCTGTGGGTCTCTCTCTATGGGTCTCGCTGTGGGTCTCGCTGTGGGTCTCTCTATGGGTCTCTCTATGGGTCTCGCTCTGGGTCTCTCTATGGGTCTCGCTGTGGGTCTCTCTATGGGTCTCTCTATGGGTCTCTCTATGGGTCTCTCTATGGGTCTCGCTATGGGTCTCGCTGTGGGTCGCTGTGGGTCGCTGGGTCCCGCTATGGGTCTCTCTATGGGTCGCTGGGTCCCGCTATGGGTCTCTCTATGGGTCGCTGGGTCCCGCTATGGGTCTCTCTATGGGTCGCTGGGTCCCGCTATGGGTCTCTCTATGGCTCCCGCTGTGGGTCTCTCTATGGGTCTCGGTGTGGGTCGCTGTGGGTCGCTGGGTCCCGCTGTGGGTCGCTGTGGGTCGCTGGGTCTCGCTGTGGGTCGCTGTGGGTCGCTGGGTCCCGCTGTGGGTCGCTGTGGGTCGCTGGGTCCCGCTGTGGGTCGCTGTGGGTCGGGTCACTTGGCCAGCCGGCTGATGACCCGGATGAGCGCCGCGTTCTCGTCCTTGAGCCGCTCGTTGTCAGCGCGGAGATCGGCCAAAGCCTGGGGGGGGGGGGGGATCCATGGGGCGGGGGTGGGGGGGGGGGGGTCCCTGGGTCCCGGGGCCCCTCCCCCTCCCCCCCCCCCCTGGT